GGACTGATATACTATACGACTCACTAAAGAGAAAACATTCATTCTCAATCGATGACCAATCATTCTCATTATTGAACCGATAACAATGAAGAGGTGGAAAGTCTTTTCTGCCTACAAGAGCACCCCTTATTGTGAACATGTGGGTGTCTAAAAGATGTCGAAACAACGAATCTAACAAGATCACAAGACATGACGTATTAAAAAATAGGCATGACATGATTATTAAACGGATATGACCTTGCATAATTATTAAATGGCATTGGTTTGTCAGTCGTTTAAGCACGAAGAACATAAGGTGAGGTATGTTAAAGGCCCGATACAAGTACCGTCACGAGTATTAAAAATGACACCATATTGTTGCTCTTTTATTAGCAAAGTCTTAAGTCCGACATAAATTTAACTTCTTTGTATTTCTATGTAACATTATTTATATGTGTATGTAACATTCAATTCATTTAGTATAATACTAATATTACATGTGCCGGACTAGTCCAGATGCCATAAATCGGTACTCACGCCAATATGGCGTGGAAAAGCATGAATGGCGTTGGAGAATGGCTCCAACCGAGCACCAAATTTCACGGCATTTTAGTTTGACTTCAAGCGGGGTGAACATTGGAAATGCATATTTGTGTTTCCACTGTTCGCTCAAGACCAAATTTGGCATCAGATTTTAATTTTTTTAAATTATTTACTTTTAATTAGTAAAAAACAATATAAAAAGGAGATAAAAAAGAAATATACATGGAATATTCCTTTTGGTGTTAAAAATAGTGTAATGGGTTTAAGAGAAATTTACTGTTTGATGTCAAAGTTACACTATTTTAGTGTGAGAGTCACGTCATAGTGGTAGGAGTGTTCACGGATCCTAATTTACAAATTGAAGGTCAATTCGCAATTTGATTCAGATTTGTGGATTAAAAAAATCTCAATTTATATCCGATTTAAAACCTTTTTAGATTGAATTCAATCCAATTCAAAACCTATTAGATTTTGTAGATTGGACTTACGGATTCACAGATTCTGACTTTTAAAAATATAAATTAATAAACATACATACAAAATAAACACAACATGAAATATTAATAAACATCTAAAGTGTTACTTCAAGTAAAAAAAAAAGTCTAGATTGTTACAACCCAATTAACAATAATGAAATAGATTCAATGAAATTCAAAATGAAATCTTTATCGTTATTTTAAAATAATTCAACATCCACAACTTTTGAAGTAATGTTTGAGTTTTCTGCAAAAATAACAAAACATACCTTGGATAAAAAACATTAAAAAAAGTAACTTATAAAAAAAATTAAAAAATTAACTTATAAAAATTTATATATATATAATTAGAAAAACTATATATATATATGTGTGTATATGGTTTTGGATTTGCATATTTTGCATATTGGGAAGTGTTCAATTCACAATCCGATCCAAAATCTTCGGATTGAGGAAAGCCCAATCTATGTCCGATCCAACACATTTTCAATCTAATTCAAAACTTCGAATTGAATTGGATTTTACTATTAATCAGATTCACGGATTCCATGAACACCCTTATTTAATGATATGAGTTGGAGATGCTCTTAAGACATTTCCTATTTTATTTTCTTATTTAAAAGAGAAATGATACATCACTTTTTTTTATTACTTTATTTATTACTCTCTGAATTTAGTATTTAATATATAGACTCTATTAATATACCATATTATTATTTAAAAAATAATAATCGAGTATTTGTATTAAACTGTAGAGGTAAAAAATGATAAAAAGAATTATAGAACGAGAAATGCTAAAAAGTGATAAAAAAGAGTTACCGAACGAGAAATGCTTTCTCTATTTAAGGCATGTTCGATTGCTTTAACTCACTCAAGTTATCTATACTTGGGTGAATAACTTGAGTGTAATTTGCGTTCGTCCTTACCTCACTCGAATCAACACTCAAAAATTTATTCAAGTAAACCACCCATTCTTGAGTTTACCTCCCTCCCATCAACTCGAGTTGTCTCTCCTCTCTCTCTCATCATCATCAGTATCATCATCAACAGTTTTTCTCTCTAAACTCCTCCATTCCCGAGCTCTCTCTCACATCCCCACCACCACCAAGTCCATAAACCTCCGATCCCATGCCTTCGCCGGCAACCCCCTCCGTTCCAAGACCCCAAAATCCGGCGACCCATTTTCTCCTTCCTAAGCTCTCTCTCTCATCACCATCAATATCATCATCATCATTTTCTCTCTCTAAACTCCTCCATTCCCGAGCTCTCTCTCACATCCCCACCACCACCACCAAGTCCATAAACCTCCAATCCCACGCCAAACCTCCAATCCCACGCCTTCGCCGGCAACCCCCTCCATTCCAAGACCCCAAAATCTGGCGACCCATTTTCTCCTTCCCAAGCTCTCTCTCATCACCATCAATATCATCATCAACATTTTCTCTCTCTAAACTCCTCCATTCCTGAGCTCTTTCTCACACCACCACCACCACCATGTCCATAAACCTCCGATCCCACGCCTTCGCCGGCAACCCCCTCCGTTCCAAGACCCCAAAATCCGGCGACCCATTTTTTCCTTCCCAAAGCTCTCGAGACCCTCAACTTGAATTATGTATGTAGTGAAGGTTTTTTTTTTTTTTTTTTTTTTTTTTTTTTTTTTTGTCTAGGGAGAATGGGTTTGAACGGGAAGGTTTTTTTTTTTTTTGAAAAATTTTATAAATGGCTCTCAATTTAAATTATGTATGTAGTTTTACAACTCAAGTTTTACCACAAAGAAACACAAACTCAAAAAGATTCATATCTCAAACTATAACTCAAGTATACACAACCAACACAAACTCAAGTTTTGTTACAGTAAAAAGCTCTCACAAACAATCACATCTAACTTTTTTGTTACAGTAAAAAGTTCTCACATAAAATCACATCTCAACTCGAATTAAAAACTCAAATCAACGAACTAAACAGGCCCAACTCAAATTATAACTCAAACTCAACTAAAAAATTTAACTCAAAAACTCATACTTACAAAAGAACAAGCCCTTAAAAACTTGTCACACGAGAAACAAAAAAAAGGCGGGAGTGAACCGCGCGCCAAAAAGCCAACAAAAGAAAACGAAAAAACAAAAAAAACAAAAAAACAAAAAGAAAATTGTTAACTTTCCCCTTTGAACTTCCAAGCAGCACATTTTCTCGAGAAACAAACAGCATCCACTAAAGAAAACCTCCAAATGGCATAATCGGCCGCAAATAGCGCAGACCCACGTCCTCGATCATCTCCTCCTCTATTTTCCACTCTAGATTTCCTGTTTTCGTGTAGTTTCGGATTTGCCCTAATCTGAATTCACAAGACGAATCACGTCTTTCATAAGCCGGGTTTCGCTCTAAATCCAGGCAAGTTATTTCCATTTTATCCCAATTTTTATCTTCACTTTTTCTTACTCAGGGAATTTATCTTCCTCTTTTTTCGACGGGTTGTTTTTTTTTTTTTTTTTGCTTTATTTTGGGTTCTCGTTTCCATTCGGTTTAGGCTTCGCTGACCTAGTAAGCTCTTCAATGGCAGTTCTCATCTCTCACTTTTTAGTATGAGATGAAAGATTTGTACCTACTCAAACTGTTAAATATCTAAACTTGTTAAACCAGTCTATTACTTTGAATTTCCTAGTCCACTTTCATCCGTTTCTTACAATTTTTTGGCGTTAGTTTTATGATTTTCAGAATATTGAAAACATTGAATAGAGGGAAAAACCATGGTGTTTTGATTTCCCTCTTCATACATCCTAAGTTGTCTGTAATAGTCTTACATTCCATTTTTTATTTATTTTATTTTTTCTATTTTTATGTTTTAATTTCTTCTAGTTTAATGTGTGCTACTTTTACTAGAGATTATTGATAGATGCCCCCAATAGTTTTTGTCCTTTCAAAGATATATAATCTTCATGAGTACATATATTAGAACACTCAAGAATGCTTAATAAATAATTGTTCAGTTTGTTTTATTTACATGCCTACAGTTGTTTCCTTTTTGGTTAGATTTCAACAAGTAGTTTATCCCGGTCCTTGTTTCGGCATTGAATTTGTCTCAGTCTTATATTTTTTGGTTCGTGAAAATTGGTGAATAAAACTTGATTGCCAGATGGAAATTTTCCTGAACGAAATTTGAAAGTAAACTTTCTCTTTCTATAAAAAAGGTATACGTTTTGTCGGTGTTTGCCATGTTTTAGGCGTTAGGATGACAGTAGAAAGATTGGTAAGTAGTTTTATCTGTCATCATTATGAACAAAAATGAAAGACCAAATACAAGCACACGAAAATGCATTGAGGATCTAATTCACTTGGCTATTCAACTTTTAGAGCAATGGATTCGCTTATGACTACCCCCCTTTTTTTTTCTCTTGGTGAAATTGTAGTTTTGTAACAAAATCTGCACCAAATGTCGTAGTTATGTGAATTAGTTTAAAACTTATGAATCTGCATAATGCGTAGTAGTCTTAAAATTCAGGCCTTATTGTAGCTCTGGCTGCAAAAGGAGGGAAGTAGTAACTTGGTGAATTGACGAACGAGGATTGAGTATATATGTTTTTAATTGATAATAACAACAGGATGACAGGTAACTATATGATTAAAATGATATTTTCCTTGCTAATTTCATTGTTGGAATGTATCCTCTGTATGTTACAACACCTTGACAACTTGTATAATGAATAAAAAGATATTTGCCTTACTAATTTCATTGATGGAATTTATGCTCCATTCGATTATCTGAATTTTAATTATATTTGCTTTTCTCGCATTGCATCAACTTTTTATCGATGAAACGCCCAAATAAATGAAAAACCCTTAGTTTATCACGTTTACCCTTTTGTTTGTTTTGTTTTTAATTGTTTTCATATTAATGCTATATGTCATTTACCCTCCTTTCTTTTTCGGTTAGGTTGACATTTATGGCTGGGCAAAAGAAGAGGAAAAATGTCATTTACCCTCCTTTCTTTTTCGGTTAGGTTGACATTTATGGCTGGTCAAAAGAAGAGGAAACCTTGCAAAAGTCAATCAAGTGAGAAATTAAATGCAGTAGAGCCCCAGCCTACAAACCCTCACACAGGAAAATTACTAGAAGCGCTTAGTGAAAGGAGGAGGTCACTTCGCAAGAAGTTGAAACTTGGAGAAGAACCTTCAACTGAACATGGGGAGATAAACCCTGTTCAGGATTTACTTAAAGAGGTTCCGCCTTGGAAAAAGAAATCGCTACACAAGTATGCAACCCCAATGCAAGAAGTCATGAATTCATCCTCGCATGTTCCTAGCAGGTCATTTTCTGGAACAATACCAAGAGATGACTCTCCCATAATTGAGACAAATGCAGCCCCTCAAAAATCACTAGGGAAAAGAAATGCAGTAACAGGTTATCCCCCAACTAACAAGACGAGGTCTCATCGATGTTCCTTTGATGTCAACATTATTCCTGAAGCTTCTTTTCCTCCCAAACATAATTTAGGTTTGCATGCATCTACAAAAGCTCCAAGAATAGTAGAAAGGGAGGTGTCCTCAGAAGTGAATTCTTCTTCAAAAAAGAGATCAAGTACTGCAACAACATCCAGAAAATCACCTGACCAAGCTCGTGTGAACCTAATAAGAGAAAGGCATGACTCACCTGCTGATCTTACGTGGGAATCACTTCTTTTACAGACCCTAAAAGAACGATGTCGGGAAAGTGATGAGCCTAGAGCTGAAGACAACTTGATGCTTCAGTTACGCTCCCTAAGAGAACAATATCCCGAGGATAATGAGCCAGTAGCTGAAGATAATTTGTCACTTCTTTTACAGTCTCTTAGAGAACAATATCCTGAGCATGACGAGCCAATAGAACACTGTCCCAAGGATGATGAGCCAATAGAACAATGTCCTGAGCCAATTGAACAGTGTCCTGTTGATGATGGGCAAATAGAACAATGTCTTGAGCATGATGAACAATCTCTAGAGGATGATGAGCCAATAGATGACTCGGAAGAAGGTGAGAAAGAACCTCAAGTTACAACACCAGTCTCTATAGAAGAATCACAAGGACTTATAGGAAAAAGAGGTCCTACAAAATTAAAGGGCGTCGCTGAAGAAAGTGATGGTCTGATTGAAGTCAAATTCAACACAAAAGGTCAGCCAATTGGTCCTGGATCAGTAAGTTTGTCTTCATTCTTAGGACCACTTGTTAGGGAGATTGTACCGGTAACTATTGTTGATTGGAGGAAGCTTACTGAGACGATGAAGGGGATATTGTGGAAAGCTGTTCAGGTATGAAATTGTTTCATAGTTCTGTAGTCTTCTAATCCTTTAAACTGCAATACTGATTACCCACGTGTTCTATTATCTTTCAGGCAAGATACAAGGTTGAGGAAGATTGGCAAAAGGCTTATGTCTTTAAGGAGATGGGTAATCTTTGGAGATCCTCAAAATCAAGGTTGGTTAATAAAATAAGAGAAGTGCCAAACGAAGAAGAGAGACTCAAACTAAGACCCAAGAACATAAAGTCTGAAGCTGATTGGAAAGCTTTTGTGAGGGAAAAAACAAGTGCTGAATTCAAGGTACATAAATCTGTAATTTTATTTTATTACAAATGTAGGGTGACAATAGTGAAGATTCGTGTACATGGTGAATTTCTTACATGTAGGGCACTTTACCAAACCATAAATGAATATAATGAGATTTGGAAAGGAACATAATATGAGTGAGGATCATTGATTCTGTTTTTGTAGTGTTTATTTGTTTATTAGATGATATAATGGGAAACAAAAACAATCCTTTTTTTTTTGTAGTGTTTACTAAACTTTAGAAATGGTAATCTTATTAATATAATTACTAAAATATTATTTATAATTAAGTAATAATTCAATTATAGGATGTGAATTTAAGAGTATCCAAGTAAGTTTGGTATTCATTCCCTTTGATAGGAAATCAATACCGAGAGGGATGTAAGGATTGGTATTCCATTTCCTCATTCCCTATGTTGTGTGGGGCACACTAAACTCTCATTACTGATTATGTGAGTAAACACATATTATTAGATGAGTAAGGATATCACTCCTAGTTCTCCCTTTCCCTTTTGATGCGAAGTAAATGAGCCTGTAAAATGCATGTGTATGATGTTGATTCTTGTTATTAAAGATGTTATCTAAATGTTTTAAGTATACATTTTAGTTGTTATAAATGTTCTCTATTAGGCTAAAAGTGACAGATTCAGAGAGATGAGGAAGAAACTAGTCCCGCACACTTGTAGCCGCAAAGGATATGCTCGCCTGGTTGATGAAATGGTAACATTCCGTTTGTTCCTACTTCCTAGTCTTTATTAATCAAGTGATAAAAAATGTATATAACAGTTTCTCTTTTTTTAAAGTATTATTTTTCTTTATTATTTTACATATAGAGTAAAGCTAGTACAAGCAAGGCTCCACCTTCTAGAGATGCTGTTTGGGCGAAAGCACATATAAAGAAAAACGGTGAACTTATAACTGCAGCTGCTGGTGAAACCGTTGTACGAACATAAGTTTCCTCCCTACTTTATTTGGATTCAATGAATATTTTTTTGTAGTGCTAAAGGACTAGTGGGATTTAATTCATATTTACTTCTCATTGCATTGAGCATTTTCAGTTCAACTTGTTTAGGGGAATACGGAAGAACAGCAGGAGACGACGCCCTTGTCTTCTATTACAAATGTGAAAAAGAGTGTTCTTTCAAAAGTCCTTGGTCCTGATACTATTGACCGATCAAGAGCCTTCGTAAGTTCAGAACAAGATGATCGCATTGCTCGATTGGAAGATGAATGTAAAGAATTGAAGGAGAAAATGACATATATGCAGTCCTTATTAGAGGCTTTACTGAAAAATCAGGCAAGTAACTGATGTGTTATGTAGGGGTGGCAATTCGTATCACGTGTCGTGTTTTGATCGTTTCTTTCTAAATTTGCAGTCAACCCGAACACGACATGTGACAAGAAATTTTTTAAAAATCGCAACACGAACACGACACGACCACTTTACGGGTTGACATGACACAAAAATGACTCGTGACACGAAATTAACTTGTGAATCCGAAATTGACATGAAAATTGTGTACTTTTATTTAGTTTTTTACATATTAAAAATAACTTAAAATTCATAACATACTAAAATACAATAACATCCATTGAAATTGTGTAAATAATAGTATAAGATTTTAAGTATAACTATCATGATATCACAAGTTCATAATAAAATTAAAAATATGTAATGAAAAATATATGTATTTTTTAGTTTTTTACGAGTTTCGTGTCGTGTTCGGGTTAGGCGGGTCTAACTTGAAATTGTCTTGTATTTTTCGTGTCAATTTCAGGTCGACCTGATTATGACCCGAACTTCTTTTTTCTCAACCTTAACCCGCAAAATTCGTGTAGTTTTCTAGTCGTGTTGTCGTGTCGTTTTTAAGTTGTGATGTCGTGTCGTGACTCATATTGCTAGCCCTAGTGTTATGCTTATACACATTCCTCGTGTACTTTTGTTTTTTCTCAATATTTTGTCATTCCTTTTTTTGTAGGATATGTCTTTCCTAAATCAGGAGCAACTAAATGCACTTCTCCCTTCCAGGGTAAAATTATGATGACTAACCTCATTTTATAATTCTAAACACATTTTCATTTGTTAAGTCAAGAATTAATTTTGCGATTTATATTTTATACCTTGTTGGATATTGTTAATTCTAACTTACAGAACAAGTGCAAGATAATGGATTGGACTGGGTCTGGGGAGATTGTTGCTGAAGGGCGTAGGTCTTCAACTGATCCAAAAGCTTTGGTTCATAATATTCCTCTTGGACCAAATGCCATGAGAGTTTGGGTAGATGTTGTGAAAAAACCCGACGCATTTTTGTGGAGACCTACTTCGGAGATGACTTCTATTGAAGAAGCTGTCGGTTGTACAATTGCCTGGCCTGCTGATAAAGTTATTATGACGTAAGTGAAATATGTCCCAATTTTATGGCATGCTTTCAAATTTTGGGTTATTGGTTTTTTATAATCTATGATTTCAGTTCAGCGTAGATATCTGTATTCATTTGGTTGTGTGATGCATATCTAGGAAATGAAGAACTCAGAGAAAGATTTGGAATTGTTGATGGAAGACGCATGAATGCTCGGTAGAAGGCTGTTTGCCGGTTCATACATACGCCGGTAGAAGGCGTACGCGTACATCCTTTGGGACTCCTTGAAAAAGTTCTCTTTTTTGTCCCTGTTAAGTTACTTTCTTGGGGTCTTTGGTTAAATAGTATGCTCTACCTTCTTGATTTATGCAATGAATGTATCAAATGTTGTTTATTTTACTTGTGGATGCATAATGCAAGCAATGTAACACTTTTAGGATTTGGTCTAGATTGTGTATTGCAGAAAATGACACTAGTTATGGGCACGGCTTGTGCGAATATATTACTGTTGAAACGACCTCTAAATAACGGGTGATTTACATAAATGCTTATCCTAAAAGTATTATTTTAAATAATGTCTACTTTCTCGTTTATTTATAAAATTATTGACTATCACATATATAAAGACATTTTTAACCTCGTATAATGAAAAAAGAAAGAAATAATTAAACCACAGAAAATGTATGCAAAGTGAGACAAAAATATAGAAAAGTTAACTACTGTAAAAACTATAACAATTGTATTTAATGAAATTGTCTAATGAGAAGTCAACTCTTTTATTTAAACAAAAAAAGAAAAAAAAAACAAAAGAATAAACTATTTGCACATTAAGAGACAAAAAAAGGCAGCCCCAAAAACTCTACAACCACGACAAAAAAGGGTCAAAAACCCCAAAACTAAAATCGACTCCGGCAGCCATTAAAACACCAAAACTATGAAAATATGTACATAAATAATAAGTATTTTCACTAAAATAATTATTAGACCATAATGAAAACGAAAAGCGAAGCAAAAAGTTGAATGAAAAATTCTAATAAAGAAAAACTAAAAAATATATACAGAAAGAATAAGTATTTTCACTAAAATAATGATTAGATCATAATGAAAATGAAAAGCAAAACAATAAGTAATATTATTTGGGAAAATCATTAAAAAAAATTACAATAAAAAAGATATATGATCATAACATAATGAAAGAAAAATTCTAAAAAAGAAGAAACATAAAACCTCACAAGAAAATATGAACATAAAGAAAATATTTTCTATTAGATCATAATGAAAGAAAAATTCTATAAAAAAAAAAAAAAACATAAAACCTCACAAGAAAAATGAAGAGAAAGAAAATATTTTCTCTAAAATAATCATCAAACCATAATGAAAGAAAATTACAAAACAATGAATAATCATTTAACATTACAATGAAGAAAAAACATGATGAGACCATAATAAAGAATAGATAATTTTATTATTTAAATTAGATATGAAACATATGAGAATATATTATATGCAAAGAGTAGATAATTTCATTATTTAAATAATAAAAGCATTATGAAAGAATAACATTAGCAACAATAATGGAAGAATAATAATAACACAAGCAAAAGCAACAACGAAAGAACAATATCAAAAACAAATATATTAATAACACGAGCAAATAAAAGGAAAAGCAACAACAGTAACGTAAACCAAAGTAAATAACAATGATAATAGACCCGTTTATTTCACCGATTCGAATTTAGAATTTGAGTTTTGCTACAGTAAAAAGCTTTCAGAAACAATCACATTTAACTTTTTTATTACAGTAAAAAGCTCTCACATAAAGTCACATCTCAACTCGAATTAAAAACTTAAATCAGTGAATTAAACGGGCTCAAAGACAAACAAATACGTACGCGCAAGGGAAAAAAAAGATCATCATTGAAATAAACACAAAACATTGCAACTACTAGTCAATGATCAACGACGAAATCCAAGTAGGGTAGCAGGTCAATGAACGCAAATCACGACCGGCAATATGAAAGAAGGCTGCTCTCCCAAACAATGAACGTGAAACACAGACGAAAGAATTCAAAAAATGAAAAAAGAGGGAAAATAATAACCAGAGAATAAAAAAACAAATCAGCACAAAATCATACTGTTTATTAAAAAATAAAACTAAAAAAGGTAAGTAAAAATATAAATTGTAATCAGGAAAAATAAGTCAACAAATAAATAAAACCTAACCATATAAAAAATATTACCGAAAATACCTAATAAGGGCAATACCGGAAAAAAATGCCTTATAAAGAGCAAACCAATATTCTAGTAATATTAAATAATAGCCGATATTTTTAAAAATATAGGTTTAATATTAAGCATTTTACGTAATTACTTCCTAAAATAACTTAATAACAATTAGTGTTGGTCCAAATCAATAAATGCAAATCGAAAGCGCAATTAAAAAGTATAAGAAAAAACTTTTCGTAGGTTTTGATATATCTCCTCTTTTAGTTCTGAAAGTAAATCCATTTATAGATCAAACTAGGGGTTGTTTCTTTTTCCCCATACTTAAAAATGTTGATTTTTTTTATTTCATTTTATTTTTTTTGTTTTTCATTTGAGTGAAATGTGTTGCAATATAAAAACTAATATTAGTTCACCTCCGAGTAACTTTAGTTATTAAGAAGATTAAACGAACATTAACAGGTGTAAAAAGCAACGCGATGCTAGTTATAAAGTTCTTTTATTAATAAAATAAAAAAAAAAATTTCTTTCCAATGATATTGAGAAACTGCCAAGAATAATACAAGAAAATTAATACTCACCGTTTTATGTTGAAAGGATCTGTAGAGCTCTTTGGTGCCATCACATTTCTTACTTATTTCTAAATCTCAAAAAAGAAAAAGTAAGCAAAAATGAAAATTATAAATCACTAATATATATTACCTTCTTTTTTTTCAAAATTTGTTTTCATTTGAAGTATTGAAAAAACTCACATAGGCAAAAAATCTCAAATATCTCATATCGTGAGACATATAATTGTCACTATAAATAAGAACCAAAATTCCGACAGTTAAAATTAACGTAATAGAAGTAAGTGAGTTAACCAAATAACTAAATTTTAAAGAAAAGTCGTTATTTATAGTCCAAGACCATATAGATAGATAAAATAAATAGAAGAGTTATTTACTTGTTGAATAACTAGATAGGTTGAAGAAAGCATAATTTCCTCCAATATCTAATAAGCTTCCAGATGAAGTCATATTAAACACGCTTTTGGAGCCAATAAAGGAACTTCATAGTTTATTATGTTTTGTACAGCATTCTTTGAACAATGTATATCATTATTTTCAGCAAAAACAATTTCTCCAATTAACAAGTCAATATTTTTGGTAAAAGAAAAGCAAAATTACAAGGATACAACAATACTAAAACAAAAGCCCCCATCCTTATGGATCTTTTGAATAATATATATATATATATATGTTCTCAAATGTTGGTATTACTGTTGCTGCTGTTGCTGTTGCTGTATGTTTATTAACTTGTAATATGCTCCATTTTTGTTTTCTATAAGAGTTGAATGCGTCCCTTGCTCTATTATCTTCCCATCTTGTATCACCGAAATTTGGTCTGCATTTTTTATTGTTGACAGCCTATGAGCAACGATGACTGTTGTTCTGTTCTTCATCAATCTGTCAAGCGCTTGTTGCACCACGCGCTCCGACTCAACGTCTAGCGCGCTAGTGGCCTCGTCCAGTAACAAGATTTCCGGGTTCTTTAGGACAGCTCGGGCAATGGCCACCCTTTGCCGTTGGCCGCCGGAGAGCTGAACTCCTCGCTCCCCGACTTTGGTTGAGTAGCCTTCAGGAAGTGCACTGATGAAACTGTGAGCATTGGCAAGCTTGGCTGCTTCAATCACTTCTGATTCGGTAGCTCCTTCCTTTCCATACAGAATGTTCTCATAGATTGTGGTTGCAAAAAGAGCTGGTTCTTGTTGCACTAGACCAATGTGTTTCCTCAGTGACTTGATCTTGAGTCTCTTGATATCCTTCCCTGATATCGTAGCAATAATATACATCATGAAAGTTTAAATCATGACTATTATGAATATATATGTCAAAATTTTATAAGTTCTATGAAACTGAACTTTTTGACCTCCAAAAATTATATTTTAGTTTTATGATTGACACATCATGAAACTATTTTTCATGATATGTATCCTTTTCTGAAAAAAAAAAAATGGCCTCTAGAACATGTAGAAAAGATTCTCTGTTTGGCATGAATGAAACAATTCAAGATACATCTAAAACTAAGAAAGAAAAATAACACAAATCGTCAATAATTGAATGATGAAGACCATAAAGAAAGACATGATTATTTCGTCTTAGCAAACAATGTCAAGGCAATTTCCTCAATGTTCAAATCTTGGCTATGATTTTTGTTGGTCCTTAGCAAATAGAAGATTTTGTTTTGGTTCAAAAAAACTTACCATCTATCAACACTTTCCCAGCAGTAGGATCATAGAACCTGAGTATCAGAGAAATCACGGAGCTTTTACCAGATCCACTTTGCCCCACCAATGCCATACTCTTCCCCGATCGCACTTTTAGATTGAAGTCCTTAAAGATAACTACTTCTGGTCTTGAAGGGTAGCAAAACTTGATATCCCTTAGCTCAATCGTTCCGTCTACCGTTGTCAAGTCTTCTCCTGTGTCCCCGCTTACTTCTGTCTTTCGATCCAATACCTCGAACACCGAGGCGACCATTTGGTTTCCTTTCAAGAGATCAGGGGCCAATGCCAAAGTCTCTCCCATGGCCAGTGCAGTCACTATCAAAACCATGAAAGATTTCATGACAGATTTGAAGCTAGCTAGCTCCTTTCCCATCAAAATAGAACCATACCTGAATATTAAAAAAAAAAAAAAAAGGAAAGAAAAAAAGAACATGTCGAAGCTAGTAAGGGTCCGATTGACATTACTTTTGCTTGCACTTAGTAAAGGAAAAAAACTAAAAGTTAGGACTTTTCAGTAACTGTTTGGAGCCAAATTTTTAAAAGTGTAGTGGGACAAAATTCACATTTAGATCTTTTAATAAGCTATTTAGAATTTAGTTTATAAAGTCTTATTGAAGCTCTGGAATAAGGTTGAAAGCCTGCTCAAAAGAGCTTTCTTTAGAAGCCGCATTTTGTGGCTTTGAAAGGTCATACCTCTTCTTAAAGGTCAGCCACTCGCCTAGTGAATCCTGATAGGAACTTGTTAATTGGTTAGAGAAGTTAGTAGTTTGTTAGAAAGGATGTTATTAGTTAGTTACTGTGGACTTTAGTTGGGGAGGGAATTAGTTAGAGAAGGCAGAGGATATTAAAAGGGGGGTTCGGGAATTGAGGGAGAGGAGGAAAACTACTGGAGTTTGAGGAAGTCTTGGCTTAGGCTGAGCAAGGGGAGGTTAGCAGTACCTCGAATCACTGCATTGTAATTCATTCTTTCATTCAATAAAGATTCATCTTTCTCTTCTCAATTCTTCTCATTTCTTGAGAATTGCCTTAGATCTTATCAAGTGGTATCAGAGCACTTTCTTGGGCGAAATTTGGAGAAGATGGAGGGAACATTAGGATGTTGGCAGCAATTAGAGAAGCCAATGTTTTCTGGAGAAGATCCGGATGCGTGGATAGCAAGAGTAGAAGAATATTTCTTGAAAAATCGATTTTCAGAGCAAGAAAAAGTGATGTTCATTGAGGAGTTCATGGAAGGTAAAGCTTTTCAGTGGTTTCAGTGGGAGGATAGAAGACGACCATTTGTTTGTTGGAGTGCATTCAAGATGAATTTGCTTCAACGTTTCAGACCAACACAAAGATTGCTTTCGGAAACGAATATGGAGGTTTGGCCACAGAACGTAGGAATGATTTCAGAACCTCATGTTTCTGGCGGTGGCTCGTCGCAACCAGATTTGGAACATCAAAACCGACGAACGACCTTAGAGAAAACGTGAAGAGATCTAGAATCGCATGAGGCTGACGGCACTCCGAGCAATTTTTCGCGATCTGGTGCGATATCACTCAGATCTAAGTCAATCGGTACTCTTTTGGGCATGGCTGAAGAGGAATTCGACGGAAGGTTGGATGAGTTAAAGAAAGAAATCAGAGAAACTCACGAATCAATGATGAAGGGAGTTGGGGAATTTAGAAAAAAAGTAAGGGAAAATTTTGCTCAGATTCGAAAGATGATGGAAGAACAGAGGCGATTCTTGGCAGTGTCAGAGATAGCGAAATCGTCGACGGTGGAGGTTAGGGAACCAACGTCGGCGTTTGAGTGGGGAATCGCGGCGGAGCAACGTCAGAAATCATCGACGGAGGAGACACAACCTGTTTTAAGTGTCGATTTTGAAGATTCTTGCGGAGTCACGGCAGAATCGGGCGTCTATGGGACTGGGTTTCACGATTCCGGTCCGATGGGTTCCTATCTTCATGTGATTAGGGTTGGGGTTAGCAACTCCGGCGGGATAGGTTCCAATTTCGGCGATTTGGAGACTGCGTCTCGGGATTTAAGGACTGGGTCTTTGAATTCAAGAGTCGTTACGGCTGATTTTGGAGCAATTTTGACTAGGTCTTCGTCTTCCAGCGTGATTGGGACTGGGTCAGGGATTTTCAGGGCGAATTCCAACAAGGGTTGGACTAGGTTCCGAAATTCCGGCCGGATTTGGATTGGGTGCCGAGATTCTGGCGCAATTGGGGATGGGCCTCCCAGCACCAGCGTGTTTGGGGCCGGAATCGGGAATTTAGGCGTGAGTTCTGGTGAAATCAGGGCTGTTTTTTGGTCTGCCTGTGTGGACAGGGCAACTTTAGCAAGGTTGGGGCTGGACTTCCTAATTCCAGCAAGATTGAGGCTAATTTTGGTGCAATTGGAGTTCACCCTCGAAATTTCAGCCAGTTTGGGGCAAGGTATGCATAAATTGGTGTGCCTAGAGTTCAAATTAGGAAGTTTGCAAATGGCAGACTTGAAATTGGTGGGTTTGCAACTTCAAAACCCAACGTTTATCTGGTTCACTGCTTTAGGACCCATTGTTGTTGGGATCGTCGCTACCGAGTTCATGGTTCCAAGCCTCTCTGTTGTAGCCTTCGTCACTGCTGAGCTTAACTCTCCTAGAGTCAATGCTCCATTTGACGTTCCAAGATTCAAGCTCATCGATATGGGAAGGAAGTGGAGTCATTCGGCTGCAATTTCTTGACTTACACCTTGAGGACAAGGTGTTTGTTTGGAGCGGGAGTAATGATAGGAACTTGTTAATTGGTTAGAGAAGTTAGTAGTTTGTTAGAAATGATGTTATTAGTTAGTTACTGTGGACTTTAGTTGGGGAGGGAATTAGTTAGAGAAGGCAGGGGTATTAAAAGGGGGGTTCGGGAATTGAGGGAGAGGAGGAAAAATACTGGAGTTTGAGGAAGTCTTGGCTTAGGTTGAGCAAGGGGAGGTTAGCAGTACCTCGAATCACTGCATTGTAATTCATTCTTTCATTCAATAAAGATTCATCTTTCTCTTCTCAATTCTTCTCATTTCTTGAGAATTGCCTTAGATCTTATCAAATCCTCTTTAGTTCTTCTAACATTTTGGATTTACTGAACGGGGGAAGTAGTTAAGGAGCAAAAATCTAATCAAAAACTAATTTTTATGACGAGATAGTCATTTTTTTTTTCCCTAGAATGAGGTACAATCATGTAAGGCATATCATGGCAAAGAACCGAGGAGATAACATACCATAAGGCCAGGCCATAGGATGAGAAGATGAAGAACTGGGATATACCATAGAATATCCCAGCAATCTGACCGCGAGTAAATGAGCGTTTCGAAGGATCAGCAAGTTCACGGGCATAGAGGTCAAGGACCTTCTCCTCGGCGCAAAATGCAGCGACAGTTCGTATGTTACTCACCGCCTCACCTGCTAGCATGTTAGCCTTCAGATATGCTTTGCTCAAGTTGCCACCGTAGCCTTGCATGAAGAGTTTCTGTTAAATGAATCAAAAAACAAAAAGGAGAAAAGGAGTCATTCATGTGCTATGGAATTCTTTACTCATTATCAGAAGATAAGAATGTTAAAAGACCTCACTGATGTGACCACTAATGATTAATGGATATGTGGCCAAGACTACAAGTGTGATCCTCCAGTTCAAAAGGAAAGCTATGATGAATGAGGCAACAACCAAGCCTACATTCTGCAAGAGAATTGTGGAACGATCAACAACAATTGTTTTTAACAAAGTTGCATCGCTCTCTAGACGCGATGAGAGCATAGAACTAGTGTTGTCCGTGTCATCGAACCATCCGATCTCATTCCTTAACATGGCTGAAAATAGCAAAAGAGTCATCAAAACTATTAATCTTCACCAAAAACCAAAAAAGAGCTTCACTTTAGTATGAAGTCAACTTAACAACGCAAATTATGATGTGCTCTAACTTACCCGAAAACATCCTTTCTCGCACACGAAGAGTGAGTCTCTCTCCCATGGTTCCGAAACAAAGATGCTCAATGGCATGAACAATGACAGTTAAAACAGAAGCACCACAGAAGAGTAAAGAGATCTTTTTTATCTCACGCTTTGTTGTGTCCCAGTCCATGTAATAGGACACAAGAGCATGGGAAATCCCAAGAGCAAAAAGAGGCATTTGTGCTCCTGCAATGAAAGCGCAAAATGTGCCACACACCCCATAAAGCCAGTCAGGTCCAACCATAGAATACAGTCTTTTTGCTGAAACGTGTGTTTTCTTTACACTCTCCGTCCCATCTGCTCCATTACGGCCAATAGATTCTTTATCCGAACGGAAGCTAGCCCCAAAACTTGTCGTTGTGCGTGACAATTCCCTTGAGTACTTAATGCTGCAACACAAATGGAAGATGTAAAACAAATAGCAGGATAACATATCAAGTATGTTGATGAAAAGTACAGGTTGTGAATGAATTACCTTGGTGGGCGCCCCAAGTTAGGACCAACAGAGGGAAGGCGCTGCAGAGGGGCAGCCTCTTGAAGCTGAACAAGCGACGCATAGACACTGTTTGGATTCGAAATGAGGTCCTCATGGCACCCGGTTTCCACTATCTTCCCCTCTTGAACAACAGCAATTATATCCGCATTTCTGATGGTTGAAAGGCGATGAGCAACCACGACAGTTGTTCGTCCCACCATGACACGATCAAGTGCCTCCTGCACACTCTTCTCTGACTCTGCGTCTAGAGCACTTGTTGCTTCATCAAGTAAAAGAATTGATGGGTTCTTCACTATTGCCCTTGATATTGCAATCCTTTGCTTTTGTCCACCCGACAATTGTATACCTCTCTCCCCAACCTGAAATAGAAGAGTTGAAATTTTTAGTCACTCCAAACATCATTATATTATAAAAAATGTAGAAGGTGGAAATTTGTATGTTCTTAAGATTGATTTCCTTTCTAATTAAGTTCACATAAACAAGTTACGCATTTTTACTTCACCTATTCCATATAAACAATAACAACCTCTTGTGAGTTCTTCAATCAACAATACTACAATTTTGTGTCCATCATCTAACACAATGATGCATTTCCCAAGAACATATAAAGAAGGGTTGAAATGAAAAAGTAAACCAAGTTCAATTGCAAGTAAGAATATTAGAAATATTCTTGAGTTGTTTCTGTACCTGAGTTTCAAACCTATCAGGGAGGTTGTTTATGAAGGAGATAGCCTCTGAAAGTTTAGCCGCGCTAGTGATCTCATCAAGGGTAGCCTCATCTTTCCCATAAAGAATGTTCTCCCTAATACTTGTTGCAAAGAGAGCAGGCTCCTGATTAACCAGTCCAATTTGTCGTCTCATCCACTTGAGGTCAAGCTCTTTGATATTGGTCCCATCCAGTAGTATCTCTCCCGAATGGGGCTCGTAGAAGCGCTCAATCAACGAGATTACTGTGCTTTTCCCCGAGCCACTTCCCCCCACAAAGGCAACAATCTTCCCTGCAGGGATGTCAAGGCAAAGCTTGTTGAAGATTGTTACATCAGGCCGAGATGGGTAACTGAAAGACACATTGTTGAATTGGATGTGTCCCTCCAATTTGTTTAGCTTCCTGCCAGACATGGTGGCGCTTGCTTTGCTCGTCGTGTTCCTCTCTATCATCTCGAATATGGGATATGCAGCTGCCTTGGCTCGAACAAATGCAGAAATGTCCAATGCAGCTTGTCCAAGTGACCTGACAAGCAATACATGACAAACACTTTTGAGTTATGTTTCACGTCTTTAGATGCAAAATTTACCATGGACAAGCTGGGAGTGATCCCAACATATAAGAAAATCAACTCATTAAACAAGTTCCAATAAACAAAATGAGATGAATGAATGAATCTACTCAGGAAATAAAAATATGTCTAGCAATTGTTCAATTCGCGAGTTTGAATCCCAATTCTCAATTTGGATTTGGAATCTAATCCAAGTTTTCCTTTTCCGAAATCCGAACCACCAATCCAGATTAGATTCCAAATTCGAGTTTGGAATTATGATTCAAACCCACTGAACAAACAGGTGTTATAATTCAAGATATTTTCCCTTCACTACCTAAAGACTCCATTATGTTCTTCTATATATCAAAACAAAGCAGTGCCACTAAGTCAACATTTTCACATAAAATTGGGAAGTTTCCAATTTGATATGCAACAATATTAATTGACTACACACACATCTAAACTATGTTAACTTTGTCATGCCTAAAAGAGATTGAATTAATAAATGTATATAAAATTAGAAAAAGTAACAAGAAGATTGAGTTACTAACAGGCCAGCAATGACAACATTGAGCATGGTGGTGAAGGAGTCGCCGCCATTGGCGATGCTTTTGTGAACGACGACGCTGGTGTACCAGACAAGCAATGCCCAGGAAAGGAAGAGTGTGCAGTGCATGAAACCCAAGCCAAGACCCTTGGCTAGACCTGCTTTTCTCCCGTACTTGTATGTATGTGCCAATGCTGACTTGTACAGTCTCACTGCCCTTTCCTCTCCTGCAAATGCTTGCACTGTTCTTACATTTCCTATCACCTGAAGATCAACATACAATATGACATTCAAATTAGTAAGTAACAAAAATTTGTCAATGTGCTTATCACCAAATCTAGACACCCAAAACAATCATGCCAACATCTATATATGATTGTATATATTACTCAATAACATCTTTTTTTTTCCATTTTTTTGTTAGGAGTAATACAAGATTCTCACTTTTCTTATCAACCAATGGTGGACAAATCTGTATATTCCTTATTAGGAAAAGAACCAACAAAAAAAATAATGAAATATAAAACTACATATCTCTTTCAAAAAAAAAAAGAAAAAAATTATGAAATTGTCACAGTGGCACGTGGTAAGAAGAATATAAGGGTATTATATATATATATATATAATACCTTATAAGTATAACACATTTCAGATCGTTCAAATATGATGTTTAAATAACTGTACCCAATCAATTGTTTTTTAAGACTTTGCTGGTGTTTCTTATTTATTAATCGTCATATCTGTATTAAATTTGATTAAAAGATAAATTAAATTAAAAAAATAATACACATTCAACGGTTAATAAATAATAGAGACCGGTGTTTCTAAAAAAAAAAAAAAAAAAAAGGGGTTTTTTTAAAAAAAAAAAAAAAAAAAAACACCAGATAAATTTCTTTGGTTTAATCATAGACTGATAAATGTCAAATATTTACGTGTCACTAATTTTGTCACGTGAGAGAGAAAGGGAGTAGGAGAGAGAGAGAGACCTCTTCAGCGATCTCGCCAGCCTTGACATAAGATTTGCGAACTCTAGCAATGAGACCAGTGGCGATGTAGGCGTAGACACCACCTGCGAGTGCAATTAATGGCACAATGGAAAGTGTCACCAAACTTATCTGCCACACCCGAGCGAACCCAATTATGAATCCCACCACGAATCTGCTCATGTAGTGCATGAAATTCCCTACCTACATCCACAACCACCCACTCACACATGTATTAACTATATAAATATATATATATATATATATACCCTTTAATTTTATCATGCATGCAATTTAAGTAATATAATAAAAAAAAAGATATTTAACGTAACACAGAAATTATATTGATGAAATAATAATCTTTAATAACTATTTTTTTGTTTTTTTTTTAGTTTTAGACATTTTTAGTGTTAGTGTAAATATCATCTTATATATTACCCTTCACTTCTGCATATTGCGTACTTTTAAAAAACCGTAAAAAATCTATATATATATGTATAAAACAAATTAATTATATATCTTTATATGGATTTCCACTTATATTTGCTCGGCCAGGAGCACGCAGTAACAGATCAGAGTTATGAACACGGGACAGTGTACAGCTCAGAGAAAGAGAGATCATTAAAACGTTCACGTACAAATAGCATGTCATCCATGTCCTAGAGCGATATTGGTCACGGCACCAATTTAATATTAATGTATGGTTTTTTCCTCCTTATCTAATTAAAATGAGGAAAATGCAATATGATAATTTTTTCCCCCTAGCTGAAACAGTGCTGTTAACTGGTGCATAATTTATTAATTAGAATTGGATTTGACCGTCAGTTTTTGCCAAAAGAATCACGAGTCGGTCAAAATACCACAAGAGAAGAGGAATGTCTTTATTTATTTATTTATTTATTTATTTATTTATTTTTCTGAAAAAGTAAAGAATAACGGAAACTTCTAGGGCATAAATAAGATTAATTACCCTTCAGATCTAAAAAGTTGTAGTCTAAAATTCTGGTAATTAATTTAAGATTGTCCAGTTTGAGCTGGCAAAAGTGAGAAAAAAAGAGCCCTATAATAAATAATTAAACATTTAAACCCAACATGCACCTGGCTGGCACACACCCACAACGCTCCAACCGGCTAATAAATGCTAACAGTTAACCCTTGCATTTATTCCAAATTCAGCTTTCCACTCGGATCTTTAAACAAAAGTGTTGTTATTTATCAAATTAAACAAAACAAAACAAAAAACACAAGGGTTGTTCAAACTTCAAACATCCGTTCAACTACCCAAAGGAAAAAAAAAATATTAATAACTAATTCTCCTGAGTTACTTTCTTATGTATAAGATAATATAATTGTTATCTTTGTCATCATGAATTATGCGACTCTACATGACAGAAAATGATTGGATAAAATAAAGTTTTCTGAGATGGCAAGGTTTATTTTATATATATTATGTTATATATATATATATATATATATATGTGTGTGTGTTATATTTCATAAAAACCTTAGTGGACCCTCTATATATATGTATGTATATTGTGGTTGCTGAGATCCAGTTAGAAAATAACCACTAGACGTGAGAATAAGGATAAAAATAGGAACCTCTATTAACAATAATAGCCATATAATTGCATTAAAATGTAACACAAAGTACAACCATAAATAAATAAATAAATAAATAAACAAACAAAATAGAAATACCTTCTCAGAGAGGGCATCTTGAACAACAATAATATCACTTGTAATTGCAGATATAACTTCTCCGGTGGAAGCTTCAGTGTCAAAAAGACTTATATCTTGACTCAACATTGCCCTCAAATATGCCATTCTCATTTTGGCTGCTTGCCTTTCCCCAGTATGCATCCAACAAGCCACCTCTGTAATTAATTCCCAAACCCGTATACAATGATAATAGTGTTATTATATATGCAAACCAATTACATAATTTAATAATTAAAAATTGAATCAAGTGAGAAACAATTTTCACGTGCATGATGTGAAAATCACACACAACTATGAAGATAATTAATAAAAATGAAAAAAAAATATCATTAACGCATACCTGTCCACGATGAAAACAATATAGCTATACTTAGATAAACAAAATCCAACGAGTACTGCACGAAACAACACAAAGAAACAAAATGAAGAAATTCACTCATTTTGGACATAATGGGTAATTCCTTTCATACATGCATCAAAATCTAAATATTACCCTTTACATGATCTCTTCTTTTCTTTCAAAAAAATAATAATAATAATAATAAAAGAAAAAAAATAAAAATATACTTTTCACTGTCACTTCAAAGATGGGGCTAATTGTCCCTTATTGTGTGCATATATATAAACAAACATATATTATTTTTGAAAAAAAGAACAGAAAAAGACATGGCCATATATTTTTTGATTCATTTCTCTATAATATATATATACATATATATATTTATATTTATATTTACCTTTGCAACTTTGTGGGAAGCTTCTTTTGGGAAGAGATAAGCCATTCCAATGACATTTATCAACTGACCAAAGAAGATAAAAAAAATAGGCACCGAAGCACCGTGGATACAGGCGCCAATCGATCCGATCGCCATCAAAACACAGTCGTAGAAGTCGGCGAACGTAAAGAGTTTCAGCAACGAGACTTTCCTTTGATTCTTATTAACACTATTATTTTCTTGATCCGCCTTCTTTCGTTTCGAGTCACCGTCGCCAGAAAATGAGTCCGGCGAAGCCATTTTGGGATGTGGAGAGAGATGAGGGAGTTAGTTTGTTTTTTGTTTTTGTTTCAAAGAGTGGCGGTGAAAGTGGAGATGGGGTTTTTATAAATATTTTTTGGTATGTTTGTGAGGATGATTAGTACTAGATAATAAGTTGGGAGAGGGTTGGGCAGTTGGGTTTTGTGAAGTTTTTTTGTAGTGATATAATTATCATACGTGGGGGAAGGGATAGGGATGGGTCGGAGTTAGATGGGACATTAAAATGTAAAATTAATTAAAGTGAGTAAATATATGTGTATATATACGTATATGTATAAAGCACATATGAATTCAAGCTATTTGTTCAATTTTAAGTATCTTAAATGATGTCTAATTAATTAAATTGTGTCATGTCATTTAATTAAATTAAATATTAATGTAAAAATAAAATATTTTAAATTTTTAAATAATGTGGTATAATATAGTTGTTTAGACACTATTTAAAACATTAAAATTACACAGATAATTTTAGTCTATGTATGAATATATAATAAAAAAAAGAAGAAGAAACAAATAGCTAGATAAATACAAAAGAAAAGAAAAAAGGGAGCTAGCTAAACGTGTCTACATTAATGAGTGAGTGTATATGGTTAAATTGGGATGGTTGATAAATGCGAGCTTTCAAGGGCGACTTTTTTGTCACCCTTAAGTAGAAGAGAGACGAATTGGGGAAGTATATCCCTTTTGGGGATTCTCTGAGACTAGATATATATTATGTTATTTGTCATGTTTGAGATTTTAGGATTCAATTGTATACTACTCTTTCTCGCTTGGTTTGGTGTTTAACTTGAAATATATCGTTGTCTTTTTTCTCCACTTCGTTGTTCATGAATTTTTTTTTTTTTCTAATTTCTTAACGTTTTTCTTATAATAAAAAAATAACACGTTTGGTATAAAGCTCAAAATAAATATTTAATAACTCAAACAAATTAAAAAATATAGTATGGATAGTATGGATATTTGAAGATTATATCATAGTAAAATATTATCAAATATTTCTTAAAAAGAATATATCAATTATCAATTAATAAATAAAAAGGAACAAAAATAACAAAAATCTACTGATCAGATGAGAGAAAACTAATTATAGATATAGTACTTCAGTAACGTTCACCACGGTAAAAATAATTCTCTTTGAGCCTTACAATAGAATATTCTTCCAAGTTATATATAAAACATGCACTAAATCTTGTTAGTTGTTTCTTATGATGTGCTTCTCATGATCTATAGTTTTTAGTCCAAGTGCTCTGGAGTTGTTATTTCTTCTTGATTCTTCTATATATATTTTTTTTTGTTTAGTAATTGTTGGTATCGGTTTGAGTCTTTTAATACTTTATAGGACAATATAAATAATATAGAGACGTAAAATAAAAGAACATGAGAGAAATGGTATCGCGGTTCAGTCACAACCTACTCCGCAGGGCCACGCCTAGATGATGAACAATCTACTAAGAACTCTTTTAAAGTTCAATTGGACTTAATCTACTCAAGACTCCCTCTCTAAGAAGACGCCTATGAACTTGCAATTTCCCAATGGACTTGAACAGCGAGATCCCCTCGACTTTTTAACATTGGAATCCCTCCAACTAAGTTTTTCTCTCAAAAAACACTCAAATCATCTCTCTTGAATACAAGTGCTCACCTCTCTCACAACCCAGCAAAACTAATCCAAAGGTGTACATAGATACAATAGACTCTTTGAATAAATAAGCAAAAATGATAACAGCTTGACGACCTCTTCAATTAATTCGCTGAACCAAATCTGTTGTAGATCCTTGTTGCAACAATAACTGCAACATAGCTGTCATGGTCGACTTTTTCCAAACCAGTCTGTATCAATCTACTTTCTGCTGAAACCTTCCCGAAACTGATATATGAACCTGCACACGTTCTTAGGAGACAGAGGAAGATCATCCAGCTACGAAATCTCCATCAAATATCAATCAAATCACCAATTCTCAATTTATTATCTTTGGATCAATAGTTGACTTTCAAAAGAAGAAACTAAATTAAGTTTCCAAATCTTACAGAAACCTTCTATAAAGAACTTGCCAGCTGCACATCTATTCTCAAACACAATTAACCAGTCAATCATTGCCAAAATAATGCCAATCACATAACGAATAGAATCAATACAAAATTCAAAAAACAAACCCAACAATCAATACAAAATTTGGGAAACAAATCTCAACAGTAATATATGTTAGTTAGCATGGGGGTACCAACCTAACTAACCTAGAATTAAGCATGTGCTCACTTGATACTAGCTAGTTGTCGTTTAATCAAATTTTTTTGAGTAATAATAAGGTTATATAGCATTTTTCATATATCGTGTGCTTAATTTTGCGTTAAAATTAAAATTATCATAGTCTAGAAAAACAATGTAGTTATAAATTAGCAATTACATAATTAATTATGCATGACAGTACTCGTTCATGAAATGTCCTATAAGCTACTTGCATATACGAGAAATAGAGTTAGAAAACCTAATTACACTGCCCTGAGCTGGAAAAAAAAAAAAAAAAAAAAAAAAAAAAAAAAAAAGAGAACAAAAAAAGAGTCACATAGCAATTGTATGGTACAACTTGGAGTTTCTCTTTAATTAGGTTAAAGTCAGTGTGCTGCGTATTTATAGTCTTTTACTCGAACTCTACTCAAAAAGTAAGATTAACGTCGTTGTAGTTATTATTCACTAGCTAGCATTATAGTAATAATTCATGTTACACTCTTAAAAGATATATATAATTCAGATTCATAAATTATTGTATGCAGCCCCATTTTCTTCTGCTGCTATATATAAGTTAGAATAAATAATAAAAAAAAGTTACTCTAAATATAGCACCTAAATTTATTTGAAAGTAATACAATTAAGATGAGTATGCTGAAGGTTAGCTGGATCGTGCTCATGTTCAAGAAAGTAGCAACTTCGACCCCTTTATGTACATGCATATATAGTCGTATATGGAATCAATAGAAACAGAATTCACTATAGATAAAGAAAATGATCATGATCACGACCACGGGCCATTATTGGATGGAGGTGCCAATTTTTCTAACGAATGAATGCAAATAAATAACGTTTTAATGTCATGCATATTAGAAGACAAATAGATATATGATATGTGATATATATATATATATATAAATTTTTAATGATTATGTTTTATCTGTGAATATTCATTAAATATAGAAATTTAATGATATGATGTGATAAGAATTTAATTTTATTAATTGTCATACATTTTATTTTATTTTTTATCAACTATCTAATTTATTACAACCTTTTAATTAGTATCACACGGATAAAATAATAATGCCCATTAATAATATTAGAGTAACTATCGAAATTTTTACCTCAATTTCGCAATAGGTAAATATATGTATACTCATTTATACATGCATATATACTTGCATATATAGAAAAATGCTAAACAATCCGACTTGGGAAGTCTGAGTTGTTAAACAAAAACGTGTGAATATACCTTATACCTCAATTTCTCAACCTGATTCTCCCGTTGGGTTGTTTAGAAGTGTGCTCGTATATGTAGCAATAATCCTGGTCACATCAAGCAAAATGCATATTCTTTATGTGGCATACGTTTGCTCTAAGCATCCAACTGATCTGTTTTGTTGAGCCCTAGTTATTTTACAAGCAATTCGGATCATATGGGTTAATTAAATTTGATACGGAATTAAAGAGGCCAGGTACTGGCCGTTTCTGGGGAAACCCATGAAATTATTAGAATAATCTTCCTTTTCATATTGGCCCCGTTCACTTCGTTGATTCGAGTTTAGAATTTAAGTTTTTCTACAGTAAAAAGCATATATATATATAAGAAAGATATGAAATATGTCGGTCTTTTAAAAGATACATAATTAAAATTTGAATCTTTTATTTTTTAAATAATCCTTAAGTTGTCTTTTTTTTTTCCTTTTTTCACAAAAAAAAAAATTCTTTACTCCATGCTTTCAGTTGGAAACAGATTTCAAAGGATTCTTATTCTCTTCAATTTCTTTACATTATTACAAGATCAAACCTAGAAAAACCCCACGAGAATTTATACAATTCTACATCATCTTCTTTGAATTTCGAAGGAAAAGACCTCCATTTTTCAAATATACAGCAAACGTGCACTCAGTAAAAGTATAAAACTCAAGCACGCAATCAGTTTGATGGCGTAAGATTAGTATAAATTGCATTCGATATTGGGAATCTATTTTAATGGTTTAAGGGACGGAAAGATATGATGCTGTGCTGAAGATTTCTTGAGGATTGGAAATCAAAACTAATATGAATATGATAAGTAATTTCAGTATCTCTAAAATTAATTTGTATTAATCTTCTATAATGAAAGTTCTAATCAACGAAAATTGATTAATAAAATTCCTCCATATAGATCGAGAACATGACTCACGTGAACTTTGGAAGTCTTGCTTGGGCTAGTTTAAGGGTACTGTTTCTCTTTTTTTTTTTTAATTACTTATTACTACATACTACTATTATTATTATTATTATGATTAATATTATTAAGTTTGAGCTGGGTAAAACAGGCTGGTCTTGAGCCAGTCAGTTGACCCGTGCTCAGCCTGGCCCAGCTCTGACCCTTGAGTCGGACTGATACTTTAGGCCCTAAACTATTAGAATCTCATACATGCCCAAGCAATACTAATCTTAATTCGAAGTTGCTGAAAAGTCGGAGCTGACAGTAGCTCTAAACTATGGAGGAGATGTAGGAAAATCAAATGTGCCATGAGTTTCATGATCACGAACAAAAGGATAATAGAGGACATTATATGTTTGATTTGTGAGTAAAAAACCAAATTGATTAAAAGGAAAGTGGATCCAATGTCGTCGCATAAAATAATAGGCGGCTGCGGGATAGAAAAACCTAGAGCTCGCCAAGTAAATTTTGGAGCCAGTACAAAACTTTAGCCGAGAACTCGATATTCAGCTTTTGTTATAAGGACCAGTCTACTGTTTCAAATATTAATATAGTCATCGTAATCTATTTAGATTTATTTTTTTTTGTGTAATTTCATGTTAAATATGTAGCGTATAAGTGTTGGATTGAGAAAAGATTAATAAAATCGGCATTAAGTTTGTTGTCGTATCAATAAAT